TGTAGACTAGAAAGTCGAAACAAAACACTTGAACAGCAGTTTTATGCCTACACCCAAACGACTAGAACGAGCAGCAGAGAAGATAATATATATTCCATATATTTATGATAGTAACATAATACATATATATGAATATATATGATAGTATACAAAACCTAAATATATATATATATATATATAATATTGTTGGCGCCGAAGCGCCCCAAAAATACGACTGAGATGCATTGCAATGCAGCAGACACACGGCAATCTTTAGTAAAAGGCGAAAGATTGGTGCGTTATGTGTCTGCTGCTGCATCATAAAAAAAAACGTTTACAACCCCACCCCCACCCCGAGGCGTTCTGAACGGCGAATAACACTCAGAAAAAAAAAAAACAAAAAAAAGTCATTTTTTTTGCTGTTTTTAACCCTAATATAACTAAAAAATATATTTTAAATTATTTTTTTCATACAAAAAATTCATAAATTAAATAAAAATGCATATACATAACAACTATTTCAGCGGTGCTTTACACCGGATCACCGCTAGAGGTGCCTATACACCCGAAATAAATGTCGCTTTATAGAAACATTTGCGAGTATTTTAGTGCATTTTAATCTCGTTTTTGGTTTTTATATCTTTTATATTTTATAAAAATACTTTTTTTTTGGTGTATAATTTTTCTGTTTGCCTCTCTCTAGCTCAAGCCCCAGTGAGGCGCTAGCCTTCGGCTGTCTGTACACCGCAATGTAAGAACGAGGCCTCAATGGTATTCATATTTGGAAGAAATCTCAGCATTTAAATAATTTTAAACATTTATATTTATTTATTTTTTGTTTATTTTTATTTATTTTTTCTTCTGAGCGAGATATCTGCCGCAGCTCGTACACCGCCTCTCCTGCGGTGCCGGGGCCCCAGCGCCACCGTAGCACTGCTCCTTTCTGTTTCCTCTTTCTCTCTCTCATTAATTTTTATTTTTTTATTTAATTAAACAAATATTTTGTCTTATACTCTTCAGTATCCTTTATAACAACAACAACAACAACAGCAACAACAACAGCAATGGCAGCAGCAACAACCAGAGAGACCTCTCTCCTTTTCATTTAATTTGTATTCATTTATTTCTTCCTTCAGTTTATATATAGATGTATTTAAAGAAAAAAGAAGAAAATAAATATAAATAAATAATAAATAAATATAAATATACTTTTATTTAATGATACCTACACCCTCCTCTGCCCTAGCAAGATTGGGGGGCCCCCCCCGGTGTTTACTCTCCGCGCTGCTGCATACGGGGGCCCCTGTTTCTGCTGCTGCAGCACCATCTTTGGGGGCCCCCCTGCTTTTCTCTCCTTCTTCTTTTTCTTCTCATCTCCCCGTTTGTATCCAGCCCCAAGAGGGGCCCCTCGCATGCAGTCTGCATGGGGGGGGCCCCCTGTGGGGGCCCTCTCCTAATATAGAGTTGCTGCTAAGCCGCTGGGGGGCCCCCCATGCTGCTGCTGTTGAGGCCCCCCTGTTTCTTCAGGCCCTCGTTGGCTGCAGCAGCAGCTGGGGGCCCCCCGCAGCACCAGCACGCATAGAAGAGGCCCCTAGGGGCCCCCATGAAGCAGAGAGGGGCCCCATCCTGCTACGATGGAGGCCCCGCAAAAGTTATAAAAGGGGTACTATGAATTTGGCTTCAACTAAGAGCCGCAGACGATGGGCTGCTAGCCGTCGTTGATTTTTTTCTTTTTTTTATTTCCTTTTTTATTTATTTTTTTTCTTTATTAACTTAATATTAATTAACTTAACTCTCCATATAATTTATTTATTTATTTTATTTTATTTATTTATTTATTTGTTTTTATTTGTTTTACTCGCTGCAAAACAATAACCGATCGTAACACATACACGGGGCCCCCGGGGGGCCCCCCTTGCCCCCAGGGGGGCCCCCATGCCCCCGGGGGGCCCCCGGGGTGCCCCCAGTACCCAACCCCAGATACCCCAAAACTCTACGAATATAGATTGCCAATAAGTACCTCAATATCAATAAAACTAAAAAGGGGGGCCCCCCATGGGGGCCCATGGGGGGCCCCCATAGGGGGCCCCTAGAAATAGAAGCTGTTCTGGTTGCTGCTGCGTAGACAAGTACCCACCTTAGTAACCAAGGCAGTGCATATAGGGCCCCTCAGGGCAGCAGGAAAACCTAGTGGGGGGCCCCCCATTAGGGGGGCCCCCCAATGGGGGCCCCCCCAAAGGGGGCCCCCGTAATGGTACCCTCTTGGGGGGCCCCCTGCTTATAGTTGAGGGTTTATTTATTTCAAGCGTTAGGGGCCCCCATAGGGGGCCCCTAACGCTCGTAACTGAGGGTTTAGTTTGGTGCATTAGGGGCCCCCCTTCGGATATATCCCGCTTAGCAGCACCTCTTGGGGGCCCCTTGGGGGGCCCCTAAGAGGTGGGGTACTCAGTAGCCCTCTAGAGCGGCCCGTGGGGGGCCCCCTTGGGGGGCCCTCGGGGGCCCCTTGGGGGCCCCTAGGAGTTGGGGGCCCCTTGGGGGGCCCTAGAGGGGGCCCCTTGGGGGCCCCTAGAGGGGGCCCCTTGGGGGCCCCTAGAGGGGGCCCCTAGAGGGGGCCCCTTGGGGGCCCCTAGAGGGGCCCTTGGGGGCCCCCCTAGGGGGGCCCCCTGTTGATAGTGTTGGGTTTAGTTAGCTGCCTCCCAGTTGCCGCATATTTTTCTGATTTTTCCTTTTGCTTCGAGGGCCTCTAGAGCTGTAAGTAGAGAGCGGAGGTCACCTGACCACTGGTCATGCTGCTGCTGCTGCTGCTGTTGCTGCTGCTGCTGCTGCTGCTGCTGCTGCTGTAAGTGCTGCTTGAGGCGCAGCAGAATAAGAGCAGAGGGGGCCCCCCTTGCTGCTGCAGTAGTCATTCTTTCGGCTCTCTCTTTGAGGAAGTTTATAATAAAGTTTTCGCATGCAGGTGGCAGTGCAGCAGCAGCAGCAGCAGCAGCAGCAGCTGCTGCTGCTGCTGCTGCTGCACTGCCACCTGCTGTTGCTGCAGCCGCTGCTGCAGTTGCTGCTGCTGCTGCAGACCCAGACATATCCCCCGCATCACCACCATCTCCTGGGGGGCCCCCAAACCCCCCTCTTCTAGGGAGAGAGGGGGGGGGCCCCCCTGCTGCTGCTGCTGCCTGCATATAAGAGAGACAGATATCTGCCCCGCTAGCAAAGCTGCAGGGAGCGGCACGAGGAGACGCATCGTCATCCT